AACACTAGAAAGTGCTAATGATGTGGCTGACCCCTCTGCACTCCCAAAGCTTCTGGCAGTGGGGTGGGGGCAGGGCTGCCCCACCCCCTCCCCCTGCCCCTCCTACAGAAGCAGGCCAGCCCTTCCTGAATGCCACTAGGGAACAGGAACGCAGGCTGAGCCCCTCCTCACCCTCCCTGCCCGGGCACCACCCCGGGGGGCCTGCCAGTGGGTAAAGAGAGGAGGATCCCGCCCTGGCTGGCGTGGCTCAGTGGATTGAGCATGGGCTGCGAACCAAAGCATTGCAGGTTCGATTCCCAGTCAGGGCACATGCTGGGTTGCAGGCCGTGACCCCCAGCAACCACACATTGATGCTTCTCTCTCTCTCTCTTTCTCCCTCCCTTCCCTCTCTAAAATAAATAAATAAGATCTTAAAAAAAAAAGAGAGAGAGAGGAGGATCCAACAGAGAGAACCCCTCTCCAGCCCGGCTTTCTGGGGAGGCAGGGGATGGGCTTGAGGGAGGTCGGTTCAAGGGGAGCCAGCTCTGCCTCGGACTCAGTGCCGGCCTCTCACCTGCTCCTGCCCCTCACCAGCAGGGGACTGACCACGGGCTCACCCCTTTTCCCTCCTGGTCCTGTCCTTCACCCAGTGGGGCTCCACCCCACGGTTGGAAGGTACTAATGTCTTTTGTGGGGGCACATACGGCCCAGTTCGAAGCCGGGTCTGGTGCCCCTGGCTGTTCCCCCAACCTGCTGCTCTCGGCAGCCGAGCTAGCCTAGTTCCGAGGACTCCCAGTCTTTTCCTTCCTGCACCCGGGGCCTGAAGCAACCCTGAAAATACGTGTTGCAGTTTCCCAGCCTGCAGAAGGCCGATGGCAAGCTGACTGAGGCCAGCCCTTCTTTCTGCAGCCCGGGCTAGACCGCCCCAGCTGGCTACCCCTCCTCAAACGCCGGACGGCTCCCTGTGGCCGGCAGCCGCGGCTTGCACACCGCCCGCTTCAGCGGGAGGCTTTCCTCCGCCCCTGTTTCTAGAACACCGACCACTGTGCAGCTGGGCTGGGGGGGGGCGGGGTAGGAGTGAGGGGCGGGGCGGGGCTTGGCCCCCACCCACCCCTGGGCTCTAGAAGCAGAACAGTGTTGACAAAGCTTTAGCCACAGATAAGGAAGGCATGAGTGTGACCCACAGGTCTCCCACCCCTCCTCGGCTCCCACCCCTCATTGGCTGGCCTCTTGGGCCAAGAGTCAGGGTTGCAGGTGGCCCCCCGCCCCCAGGGGAGGCTGCACCTCTGAGCCCAGCAGGGTCTCCACCTCCCAACGCCTGCAGACACACCACAATGTTTGATCACCCAGACTGTAGGCTCGGGGTACGAAAGGCCGAAGTGACTGCCCACAGAGCTCAGGGGCCTTCCAGCAGGGGCCTGGCACCCAGCAAATAATACAGGGGTTAGGTGGCCGCAGGTGGTAGTGACGTCACGGTGACAATGGAACCAATGAAATCTGTAGCGGAGGGCTGGGGGACATTGTTATACCAGGTGGTGGGGCGAGGGGCTCTCTGAGACAGGGACCCTTGAGCCACGGCCTCGAGGAGAAGGAACCAGTCATGCGGGACGGGGCACAGCGACCGGGCAGAGGGAGCAGCACCTGCAAAGGCCCTGTGTCTCTGCAGGGCCCTCGTGGTCGAGAACCCAGGAAGGAACGAAAGTGTCACGTGAAATCCCCCCCTCTCCACACAAGACAGGTACACGTGTGTTCAGCTTCACCCATCAGAGTTCCAGGGGAGAAGGGACTGCAGTGGCCAACGACAGAAGGGGTAAATGAAGACACACCACTGAGAGATGGAAAGGGACAGCTAGGGACACACACGATGACGCGGGTGAAATACGGTGCTGAGTCACACAGACACCACAGCGCGTGCCCTGGCCGCACCTGTGTGAGCAGGCCAGGCAGTCTGGGGGTGCAGGGGGCAGGCTCCTGGGCCCCCTGGGGAGGGGGGCAAGAGTGGGAAGGGCAGGAGGAAGCGTTCCGGAGTGATGGCAATGCCCCGCGTCTTGTCACTGGGGGTGGCCGTCACACGGTGACACAACAGTAAGAAATCCCGGAGCAGGGCGTGGAAGACGAGGGACATTTTATATGATGTGCAGAACACCTGAAATAAGCACTGGACACAGGATAGGCAGAGCTTGCCCTGTCTGGAAAGAAAGCTCCCACCTCACGCAGCCTACCTCACCAAATCAGGAGTCACCCTGCCCGCGCGGTCTGAGGTCAGAGCTGGGGGCGGGAAACCTAAGGCCCAGACCCCCCGTATCTCCCCATCATCAGCTAAGCCCACGGCGGCTCTGTCCTTCTCCCCTCCCTCCCACCCGCGAGGCCCAAGGGCCCGGAGGGGGCTCCAGCGTGGGGCTGCGGTGGCCCCAAAGGCCAGCCTTCAAGAATGTTCCACGTCAGGCTGGGACAGCTGGCCCCTCCGCCCGCCGCGCAGCTCGGCTGTAACCCGAGCCTCGGCTCAGCGGACTTCTCCCAGGGGCAGGACCCCTCCGGGTCTGGAATGCAGTCTGGGGCGCGAGGGCGGAGCCAGGAAGGGGTAACAAAGGGTGAAACCGCTTTGAAAATCTGCTTCCTGCCCCCCCCCCCCCAGCCCCAGAGCTCAACAAACACGCCCCCTCCTCTGGGGCTCGGGCCTTTGTTGCCCGTGTGCTGAGAGGCGGCGGGGGTAGGGAGACACCCTGAGGCTGCCGCTGAAGCTTCCGCCCCTGTGGGTGCCGCCGCCTGGGAGGGGGTTTCAGCGCCCACCTCCAACCCTGGAGGCCCACCTCCCCCCCAGCCTGAAGGGGACCCCAGCGTGGGGCCCACCTGTTAGAATGCAGAGGGAGCCGCACAGGTTAGGGCCCCGGGCGCCCCGCAGGGGTCGAGGCAGCCCAGGGAGATCAAGACAGATCCTGGGGTGCCATTGCCACTTTGGGAGAGACCTCGCCTGCTCACTCCTCCCCTTGCTCACCCCGCGGAGGCTACTCGCGTGGGTCCAGCCCTGGGGTTCTGGTTCTCACACCCGGACAGGCTGGGCTGTGAACTGTCCCCAGGGCGATTTCGTGGAGTTTCCATAACAAGAGCCGCCTTTGCCCAGAGCCTCCCAGCAGCTCCCTAAGGGCAGTGAGGACCCACGAGGCTCTGTGCACTGGCCCAGGCCGCTCGAAACCCCCCCACCCGCCAGAGAACAGGGGGCGGGTGTCTCTGACAAGAACGCCTCCGCGGGAAGGACAGAGGCTGGGGCCTCGGGAGACCAGGGTCTTCTGGAGCGGTCGAAAACCCGATGGGTACGGAACCGGCAGCACACACGCGCCTTGACACACACAGACACGCACACACACGTATGCACGTGTTGTGACACACACAAGCACCTCCAGAGAGCTTCCCGGGGAGTCCCAACCACGGAACCCCTCCCCTCCGCGGTATCCCTCCGCACTCCCGGGACACCCTGGCGCCCCAGGGAGCTGCTCGCCCCCCTTCCTCCTGTCTCTCCTTCCTGAGAACCAGCCCACCGCCTCCGAACCTGTTCCTCGTCCCCCCACCGCCATCCCTGCTGTCCTGTGGCTGAACCCCCCCACCTTCCAATTTCCATCGCTACCGGCCCTAGCGCACAAGACCCACCTAGACCCAGGCCATCCTTTCCTGGGGCCAGGGACAGATGGCTCCTGGAGTGTCTCTGTCCACAGAGGCCCCCTCCAATGGGACCTCCACCTTAGCTGGGCACCCACGGGACCCGAGAAGGGAGAGGCCGCCCTTCCTCATCCATCAGTCCTCGAGTATTGCCTGAGGGCCAGGGGGTGGGGATGGGGGCAGCAGGGTGGCTAGGCCACTCTTTGTGACAGAAAAGCAAGGACAGAAGTTGGTCTGATGGCACCATCCCTGATGGCACCATCCCTGATGGCAGGGAATGTTACAGACCAACAAACCCTGCCCCCTGCCCCCGCAACAGCAACCATGGGGCGTGGTCCAGTCACGTGAGACCTGCAGGCCTACGGGGGGGGGGCCTCACCCCCTCCAGCAGCTATGTCAACTTCACCCACCTGGCCCCGGGGTCTCCTCTGTGCTCCCCCCTCCCCCCGGGCCCTGGGCTGTCTCTGCCACAGCACTGACCGCTCTGGACTGTGCTGTCCCCACCGCGGTGTGTTTCCACCAGACAGGGAGGGAGCAGTGAATTCGTGTGTGAGTGAATGAATGAGTGAATGAATGAAGGAAGGAAGGAATGAAGGAAGGAAGAGCTGTTCCACCCACTGCTCGCTTACAGGCTTCGCTGTCCTTGCAGGTCACACCCACCCACCCCCGGGGGAAGAATTCGCCCCCTCCCCAGCTCTGTGCGGGTCATTAACTCAGTGCCCGGACTAGCCTGGTTAATGAATAATTAAGCTGGACAGGGTCTGACCTTGGGCTGACCTTGAGCCTCCCCTCCAAATCCCCTCTTCGTCAGCTGTGTGGCCACTTCACAGTGACTCTTCCCCTCCTCCTCCCTACCGGTGGGTTCTGCCTCTTGGGGACGCAGTCACCGAGAAGTCCTGGCCCCGACCCAGAGCGCCACAGCCTGCCCGCGAGGTCGCCCCCGAGGTCGCCCCCGTAGGACACAGTGAGTGGGGGACTTGCTTTTTCCACACTCCCTGCCAAAGCCCGGAATCGCAGAACCGAGAACTGTCACCCGGACCTCCGGCTGGCCTCTGCCACGGATGTGCCGCGGGACCTGGGGTTCAGGTCTCCCCTGCCACCGGGCCTCGGTTTCCCCACCAGTCAAACAAGGACAGTTCAGCACGACTGAGACTCGTTCCACGATGCCGGGGAAACGGGCGAGTGTCGTGACAGTCGGACCCAGGCCAGGCCTCAGAGGCCCCTTTGTCGTGGGCTGTGATGGGCCTGAACCACGCGCCAAGTTGGGGAGGGCGGGCGCGACGCTGCAAGTCTCTGCGGCCCCGGTCCCAGCCTCCCTCCCCATCGTGCCAGCCCTCCCGACTATCCAGTATTCTCTCCTCACTCACCCTTCCATTCAGGGGGGCGCTAGGCAGCTCGGCGGGAGGGCCAGGGGCTTGCCCTCAGGAGGCGCAGTCCTGGGAACAGCCCTCCCAGGCGGCTAGAGCCCAGAGCCATCTGTGGGGGGGGGGGGGCAGGTGCGCAGAGGGGAGGGGGACTGCCCCCTGCAGAGCGCAGGTGCCACCTGGGCCAGGGCTACAGGACGAGCCGGAGAGAAGGGGAGGGGCGGGAGCTCCTGGCAGGAGTCACAGCTCAGCGAAGGCCCCGCACAGAGAATGACCCCTTGGGACAACGACAAGCAATTGTCGGGTTGGCTGTACCAAGCCCCGAGGAGCCACAGACGGGAGTTTAAAATGAACTCAGACAATGAGAGGCAAAAAGGGTGGGAGCTGGGGAGGGGCAGGGTCGGCGGGGGATCTGGGAGGCCCGCCCTGGTGGCTCTGCGTGGGGAGCGGTGTGAACGGGGCAGAGATGGCGCCCTGAGAGGTCGCGGGTGTCACCCGAACGAGAGGTAATGAGCTCTGCCTCGGTGGCAGGGGTGGGAGAGAAGCTGAGGGTTTCAAGACTTATTAGGACGGACGCGCCTCAGAACCTCGTGACTGACTCCAGCTCCTGGCCAAGAGGCCAGATTCCCCATCCCACTTGAAACAGCTGAGTATTTCAGAACAACAACAACAAAAAAGACACCCGGAACAGTGGCTGCAAGAGAGAGCCATCCGAGAGAACCAGCGGGAACAGCGTCTGATGCTCACCCCAGGCAGACAACGGTGCCCGTGCCTACCAACCGGACCGGAACGCTCCCCGTTCACGGGGCGGCGGGCCCAGGACGCAGGGGGGCCCCGGCCTCAGCATTCCTGGAAACCCACCCAACGTCCATCAGAGCAAGACCCGAAAGGGTGAACTGGTTCCCAAGCCATTACACGGCTTCCCAGAATAAAGCTCAGGCAGATTTGTAAGTATACAAACACATCCAAAAGTCAAGATGCCTGGCACCCGTTTAAAATGACGAGGCAGGGCGAACAGGCAGGAAAACGGGACACGCGAGGAAAAGAAGAATCCACCAGGGGAACCGGAACTGGAACCGAAGTGACACAGATGTTCGAGTCAGCAGTGGAGGGTTCTAAAACGGCTGTTGGCGTTTTAAGGTTTTATTTATTTGTTTTTAGAGAGAGGGGAAGGGAGGGAGGAAGAGAGGGAGAGAAACGTCAGTGTGTGGTTGCCTCCCGCACCCCCTACTCCGGACCCAGCCTGCAACCCAGGCATGTGCCCTGACTGGGAATCGAACCAACAACCCTTTGGTTCTCAGGCCGGCACTCAATCCACTGAGCCACACTAGCCGAGGCTCTAAGACAGTTTTTACAACTGTATTCCATCTTTTCAAAATGTTAGAGACATGAAGATAAGAAAAAGATCCAAAAGGAACTTTAAAAAAATTTTTTTTAATTTTTTATATATTTTTTTAAAGATTTTTATGTATTTATTTTTAGAGAGGAAAGGGAGGGAGAAAGAAATAGAGAGAGAGAAACGTCAATGTGCGGTTGCTGGGGGCCGTGGCCTGCAACCCAGGCATGTGCCCTGACTGGGAGTCGAACCTGCAATGCTTTGGTTCGCAGCCCGCGCTCAAACCACTGAGCTACGCCAGCCAAGGCCAAAAGGAACTTTTAAGAGTTGAAAATTATGTCCGAGAGGAAAATACACGGAATGGGACTCACAGCAGGTTAGATAAGGCTGAAGAAAAGATCAGTGAACTTGAAGGCACAGGCATAAAAACTGTCCAAAAAGAAACACAGAGAAAAAGAATTTTAAAAAAAGGAAAGAGCCCGGGCTGGTGTAGCTCAGTGGACTGAGCACCGGCTGTGAACCAAGGGGCTGCCAGTTTGATTCCCAGTGGGATGCATGCCTGGGTTGCAGGCTGGGGCCCCAAGGGGGGCCACGTGAGAGGCAACCACACAGTGATGTTTCTCTCCCTCTCTTTCTCCCTCCCTTCCCCTCGCTCTTAATAAATAATAAATAAAGGAAAGAGCACCAGCAAGCCATCACGTAATTCCAGCAGCGGAGTGCATAGACGGGTAATCAGAGTGCCAGGGGGAAAGAGGAAGAAAACGGAAACACTAGTGAAAATAAGAATGGCTGAGGTTTTTCCAACGCAATGAAAGCTGTGTCCAAGGAGCTCAGTGAACCCCAACACAGACGCTGGGTGAGCCGAAACACGGGGAACGTGTGGGAGAAGAAGCAGACAAGGGTGACGCCCCGGCTTCCGGCCCACGAGACCATGGCTGGGGACCATTCCCCCCGGGGGGGAGGCCTGCAGAAGGGGCCGGTGGGGTGGGACTGGGGTGGGAGGACCTGTGTGGGCTGGGGGAGCACAGAGGAGGTGTCCAAGGGCAGCAACAGTGACAGGTCCAGCATTCAAGAGCAATGCCCTGGCTGGCGTAGCTCAGTGGATTGAGCTCGGGCTGCGAACCAAAGTGTCGCAGGTTCGATTCCCAGTCAGGGCACATGCCTGGGTTGCAGGCCACGGCCCCCAGCAACCACACATTGATGTTTCTCTCTCTCTCTCTTTCTCCCTCCCTTCCCTCTCTAAAAATAAATAAATAAAATCTTTTTAAAAAAGGGCAATGGACTGGAGACCGTGGTGGGCACAGCCGGGGAGAACGGAGGGCCCGAGGCCGACACAGGGCACACCGCCAGTGAATCAAGCAGCAAACCAGAGAGCCCTGTGGGACCCGAGAAGGGACCCCCAGGGAGGGAGTGGGGAGCCTGAAGGGGCGCGGTGCTGGGCGGAGCGGCTGTGGTGAGAAACAGGTCTAACAGCTGTCACTCGGAGGTGAAGTCTGGTCAGGACGGCTTGACCCTGGGGTAGGACTGTCCCAGGGTCCCATGCAGGAGTCCGGACGAGGGGGGCAAGGGGGAGGTGGGAGGGCTGAGTTTCAGAACCCAGAGCTGCGGCCATGCCGGCAATGACCGGGTTAGGGTGGACCGTGGTGCAGGACCAGGCAGGGTCCCTGGCAGGGGGAGAATGACAGGATGGAGAAAAGGACAGCATGTTGGCCAGGGGGTCCTCGTGGTGCCTAGGAGGGACACTGTAAATGGAGAGAGGCGAGGCAGACTCTTGGAGGCCCTGAAGCCGCCCTAAATAGAAAAGTTGTGCCAGGGGCACGTAGGTGACCCCAGGCACTGGGGTACCAGAAACCACAAGGGGCTCAGGGAGTGGGGGGGGGTCAGGGAGAGGCAAGCAGTGGTGGATGGAAGGGCATCGCAGGCTCAGCTGGGAATCATGGAGGCAGGGAGCGAGGCGCAGAGAGAGCGAGCGAGCTGGTTTTCTGCTCACTGGGCTCCCCCACCACCCAGGTGGGCAGCTGGAGAAGGGAGAAGGGTGCACCCCCGCATCCTGCCGGGGCTGCGGGGTGGAGAGGAAGTGGCGAGGAGCCAAGCCCCACAGCCTGCTGGATCCCTCACTCCGAGCAGAGAGGCCGGGCGCAGGTGTGAGGCCCAGCAGGGCCGTGGCAGGCGGTGGCATGCCTCTCTCTGCCGGCTCCCGGGCCCGGGAGAGCCTCCCTTGGCAAGGGGCCCAGGGGAGGCCTCTGCCTACTCAGCAAGGCCTCCTGCTGCCCCCGACCCTCTTCCCCAGGCAGCCCTGGAGGTCTGGGGGGAGGCCATTTCCCTGAACCCCAGCTGGGTGCAGGAGGCAGCTGGGTGGCCCTGGCTGGCTTCTGCCTCCCTCTTCAGCACCCTCCCAGAGAAGAGCCAGCCAGGCCCCACCCAGGCTCTCTGTCCTGGCGCCCTGCCGAAACATGGGGAAGCACGCCCTCCCCAGGCAGCCTGCTGTCTCCCTGAGCGTGGGGTCGCACACACCAGGGCACGCGCGTGCATGCTCAGAATGTGCGTGGAGGCAAACACAGATGCAGGCACAAACGTAAGCAGCCTCAGAAATGGGCGTGCCCTCGGAATAGCTCCCTGCGTGTGTGCATGTGTGCAGCAGAGTTACACACAGGCAGGCACGCACAACATGTGCGCCGCGTACCCATGTATGCCCATGCTCACACACTGTGCGCCAGAATGCAAATATACGTCAGATGTGCACGCACACACGGACATTTCATACATGTCCTTGCAGCTCTGCGCACCCAGAGCTGGCTGGGCCCCACAGAGCATGACTGACCCGCATCGTTTGATGAGCCTCTATCCTCAGCCCTGGAAAATGACTGGCAGCACCCCGAAGGTGCAGAGGCTGCAGGAACCCACGAAACAGGGCAGACCAGACCACCTCAAACACCGACCACCGGACCCCGCACCCGAAGATGACACGGAGACGAGCTGCAGCCCGTCTGTCTGCAACGCCCTGCTCTCCCGCCGCCCCTTCACCCCACAAAACTCCCAGCCCCAACCCCTCGGGGCTGGTGCCGATGCTGGTGCGTTTCTCCACACCAAGCCCTTCCCCTGCCTTCGGAAAGTGAAAATAAACCCTTTACTCTCTGCGCTTTCTTCTCTGTGTGAATTCTTTCACAGCCCACGTCACCAACCACCCTAACACGTTCCATGTGCTCATAAGCATACTCGGAGACGGTCACCCACACACACAGGCGTGCACCGAAAACCGAGTGCAAACAGATACACACAGGCACGTGCCAGGTGCATGCACCAATACAGAGATGCACGTGTACATAGTCGCACATGCATGCAAACATGTACACAGTTGTTCATGCATGTACAGAGCTAACACACAATGTACCTGCAGACTCGCTAATACGCACACCAGGCCCAGGTACATGACACACACATACAAAGACACATGTGCATGTATGCATGTCCTCACATGGACCTGCATGCTGACAGCAGCCTAACGGAAGGCGTGTTCTGGATCCTGAGCACCGCCTCTCAGTCCCATTTGGGGAGCCACGGAAGCTGGGGGTGGGGGGAGCACAGACACCCCGAGCTTCTTGCTGGCCCGCCCTTTTGATTGAGCTGCTGTCAGCAACACCCAAGGTCCCCCAGCTTTCAGGGAAGGCTCCAACCCAAGGCTGACTTGCTCTGAAGCCCACAGCCCTGCAGTGACGGAGCTTGTTATTTCCATTCCACGGACAAGGACGCTGAGGCTCCTGGAGGGAAGAAC